TATAAGATTCTTATATTCCTTCTTATAAGAATCTTATCAATAAATTACGCATTGCCATCGACTGCCTTATATAAGATTCTTATAAGATTTCTATAGAATTGCCGTAAGATCGGTCGACTAGGGCACCTTCAAGGATCTGAGTTGCAATAACTCGCGGATTGGATAAGCTTTAGTGCAGGTATGAAACTTTCAAAATTACCAAAAGTCGATTTTCCCAGCTATTTTGCACCTAGTGCAAAAAGTATTTCTTGCTCAACACGCCTCCTCAATGAAACATGCCAAAATTCTGTTCATGGAAAGTTGTTCATTATACTCGCCTCTATGGGATGAGATATTATAGTTTTAGATTGGTGTCATTATTCTGAAATAGGCCCAAAAACGGCCTGAACCTGAAACTTACCATACTCAGAAAACTATCGTTGTCAGTAAAACTTTAGTTATAAATTTATACATGATTATTTTTCAATGAAAGTTTGTTATAGAAGTGAATACTTGTCAAGAATATACTGACTGAGAGATACAAAGGGTCAAGGAATGTTATATATATTTATATGATGTAATATATATTACAGACTCATTTATTCTTCTTTTCCAATAAACAAGTCTCCGCGGTAATATCGGTTCGCGGAAATATCGTTGTATTGTATCGAACCTCCCGGTCGGGTCGGATATCTCTAGCGCTAATCATAAATCAAAATTCTATTTTTATTCGGTGGTTGCCACGTTTGGACAATGTTAATTTTCATCACAAGGACTTCTGTGTTTTCGATCGATTTAATTTTTTCATATACATCTCACTTGCATTAGTCAACTACACAGTTTTGCACAGGATCTCTACAGCTATAGTTTAGTACGTATCTGGTTTTTCTTTCAGTTCTTGCACTTACTTTTTAGGTTGAATTCTACTGTTATGTTTGAAGGCTTAAATAAAATATGATCTAAAGCAGGAATATACAACAAACTAGAGCTGTAGAGATTCTGTGTAAAACTGTGTACACAGTTTTACACAGTTTTACACAGAATCTCTACAGCTACACATGTGTAGTTGACTAATGCAGGTAAGATGTATATGAGAAAATACAGTCGATTGAAAACACAAGAATTCTTACGGTGAAAATGAACATTGTGCAAACGTAGCGACCATCTAATAAAAATAGGATTTTTATTTGTACTGGAGATGTGCAACTCCACCCGAAGGTTGGGTCAGACTTGCAGAATCTTCCCGTTAACACGAGCAGTCCTGGGAAAAGAAAAAGAATATTTCGGGGAAATTTTTGAATTCATAATACGTCTAATGAAAAATTTTAAGTGGCACAAACAATAAATCCAGTACTATACCGTCTTGCCAAGTACCTGATCATAAGAAAAGCAGATGAGCGGAAAGTCGCAGAAAACGAACGGCTCATTCGGAGAATCTTTGGCAGATTCTGCAGCACTGGACTGAGTACAAGTACGATGTCGAATACTTTATTTGAAGAAACTGTTGTCATTAATTAGGTTTATTCTATATGACGACATAAATCAAATAAGATGTATTTAGGTTACGAAAGTCGTTGTTGAATGAAACATGTTTTGTTAACCAAATTAGACTAAAGCTGACAGTGATTAATATAATCATTGTTCTTAGCAGTATCTTGCTTCATATGTTAACACCGGTCGAACATATTGGTACTATATTATATAATAGACAATGACATAAATATTTATTATTACATTTACATCCATGTTCTGAACATACCAAACAAAAATTTCTCAGAGCAATGAAAATACGTCGAACTCATTCATGTATACTTAGATGTAATCCAAAAATTCAATCGTGTGTGGTTTTTTGATAGAATATCCATCAATACTTAACTGTAGTTCTAAACTTCTTAAGGGATAAGCAGTGATTAGAAGCTGATGTCGGGACCCTTGTCGCAAAACAGTACACATGCTCATCGCTAATTAGCACATTTGACGCAACTTAGTGACTTATGTTTCGCCCAAATTTTTAAGACATACTGCGGGGTACCTCCTTGTATGTATTAGCTCTCGACTGAGAACGTCAAAAGTAGCGGTGTCAAATTATTCCAAAACGAAAGTAAAACAACAGAAATAAACTTTGAGAAATGTTTCTTCATGCATTGAAAAGAATGGTTGTATTTAGAACCACATTCCATGATCTGTCGAGTATTTCTGCTGTGTTCTTCATATCGTTCCTAGCAGAAAAAAATCACGCGGTTAGTTTATTCGAATCCGAATAGATGGAATAACTAGACACAGCTAGTGACATTTGGCTATTTGAGACAACTAAGCTCGTTTATCCATACCGAGCACTCGATGACATTCATAATATTTTAACTATCATTCAGAAATCGTTAGGTTAACAAAACGTATTTATTTGGAACAGGAAGTTTATGCATGCACATGGATAGATTAAATGTCTGCTTGACTTTCGAACATGATTAAATTATAATGTGGACTACATAGAAACGAATATTAAAACTAAACTGATAGTATATGTAGGTTTTATAGTCCTTACTTTAATACTATAGTTGTACATTTACACACAAAAGCAATCGTATTAAGCGATAAACATCTGTTCGATTTCCGACATATTTGACGTAACATTACATTTTTTTAGTTTTATGTTTTTAAAAAGCATGAGTCGTTTTTTAATAGTTTTTGAAAAGAAATAACGATAATTTGTTTAGTTTTTCAATGCATGGTATGATAAAAAATTTATTATAAACATGTGTGAGATTAGATAAATTTTACTATTTTATGAAAAAGAATGATACTACCATCATTTTATCTGTTTGTAAACAAACGGTTAATACTTATTATAATACTTTTGATTGTAACGGTAATGTCATACTGATCTAATTAATAGAAAATACATTTACAGAGAACGTAAAGAATCGATGTTCTTCATGATCATCATTATTTTTCTTTTATAGGGAATATATGAATCAGCTGCAGAAAAATCGTTAGATTTTTTTTTGAATGAGCATAGTGAACAAAGAGTGAATATGAAAGTGAGAAGAAATGTTGAAACTTTACTTCGAGCTCCTCAGTCTCTCCTGTTACTGATGAATTTTAAAGACGACGGAACTACGGCCTATCAGCTGATACAGGGTAAATGAAATAAAATAAAATACAAAAATTGTATCACGGCTAAATAAAGTTTATTTTTTTTTTCAATTTTTAAAGGTGAACAAATTGTTTATCGTGACAATGGCATATGTAAATATGGTCAATTTTTTGAACCAGTTACTGGAATTTGTCGAGAATTATTTTGTCAACAAAACTCTATTTCAAATGGCTCAGGTTGTGTACCAAATAATGATAAACCTGAAACAGATGAACGAATGAGTGATATTGATTTATCTCTAACATTAATTATAACAGCAGCGGAAAATTTGTCAATAACAACGAATTCTACTGTAGATCAAAACATTCAACATAATATACTTCCCACGAAACAAAATAATAAAATTTGTAATGATTGGATACAACTGTTTCATACCTCAATAGCAGGTATGATAAAGTTTATCGTTACTTGGATTACGTACATTTCTTTTCCTCCCAGTAAATGAAACGTCTCATACATACTTTATAAGGAACTTGTTTCGGACACTGCATTTTTGTACGTCACAACTTATGTATAATTAGTCGGATCATCGATCGCTTGAGGCACCCGTCTCTTGCGATACTCCCATATCGGCATTGAGGTTTCAAAACGACAAAACTTTTCAAATACGTGACGAACAACATAATCACAAAAAAGAAAACGCCGTAGTTGAGATTAGCGAAGAGTTGGGTTACTGTATAAGCTACAGGATAAATGTTGATCCACTGAACACTTGTCAGTATCTTATACGATTAACGGCACACTCAAGGCAGCAAGCAAATCTCTGATATGAATCTTGATTGCTAGCTCAGTATCACTCTTTGAATGGACAAACGATGTCATTAATCTTTTTTTGTATCTCACTATACGACGTATCTTTCTTTTCTTCAGATTATTTGGAAATTGATGATGATCGAATAACAAAAATCCGATATGAAATGGATCAAAAAATTAATAAAACAAATGTACAAGCAAAGAGACAAAATCATCAATTAACTCAACCAGAGAACCATTCAGAAATGTCGAAAACTATTAATAATAGAAAAGATATTATTACTGATGAATTAGAGAAGAAGCAATCAGCGACTGTAGTTTTTTATTTTACTGTTAAAGATCGTAATGAAACAAAAGAGCCCGGTGGACTTCATGTTGTTAATTTGCTATTAATCGCTAGTAAACAACGAACTGAAATACATTTATGTAAAAATTATACATCAAAAGTAGAGACTCTGTCGATTTTATCTGATAAAAAAAAGACTGCAGCCGAATGGTGTCAAGGAGCTGATGACATTAAACCATTTTTTAATGCTACGCTAGATATGCGTCCAGGACCTGACGGTGGAGTAGAATATTTTGTGTATGTACCAGAAACTGGAACTATATACAATCTTGGTGATTTCAATTTATTTTTTATTGTTAATGCTGATGAAACAAGTCCAATACCTTCAACACAAAATAGATTGAGACAAATCAATGATGTACACAATAAGCAACGATCGAAACGTTACTTGACATCCGAGATGATGTTGGACGATAATGCTGAACAAATCTTTCTTACAGCAGTGAGTAAGACTTTTTTTCGCTTGATATTTCGTCGTTTGCCTAATGCCGATTGATAACTGATTTTTTTTATAAACAACATGGCAGTTAACATTTAATTTCACAAAAGATCATATTTACGAGAAAAAGACGATTGAAAAGTTTTCTTTTTCTACTTTATCATTCATTAAAAAACTTTTAATCATTTTATAAGAAAACAAAAACAAACGCGCACGATAAAAAAGAGAAATAAAGAGCGATTCTTTGAAGAATTCATATGTGCAATTGACGGCGATTTTCTACGTAAAAATAAACATTCGATGATTCTTAAAACTTGGTCTAACGTAAACGCGGAATAGCACTCTTGTGTTTGGTCTAATTTATATTTTAAGGACAGTAACTTGGACTTGTAGAAGTTAAGAGTGAGAGTCCAGGACGTTCTAAGAGCCACATAACTCATGGTTGGTTTGGGGCTTTTTTCTGAGAAAAGCCGCCATACGTAGAACTGAGCTACCCACGTCAAATTCGCTCGATCGGATCCCGATTTTAACTCCGGTGATTTTCCGAGACCGAGAGTGCGGTCGGATCCGGAGATCGATATCTGCTCAATCCCTTCGCTTTCTGATATTTGATTCGTGGACGATTCGGAGATCGCATCCGATATCCCGAACCACTCAGATCCGTTAATTTCCAGTGAGTGGAAATTGACGGATCCTGTAATGTGCACTTTCTTTTCTTTTCTTTCTTTTCTGTGCGCTAAATATATTCACCGTTTTATTTCACGACAGGAGCGCCTTAAATACAACACCACAGAAAATGAAAAATGAGAAGTTGTTCGTCTCAAATTCTTAACGGTGTGAGTCATCGCTCACACTGTTCAACAGACGTGTTATACACGTCCTAGCTAATGGGTCCTTCCATTCTCTCGAATGAACAGAGGCAAGAACCACTAGAAAAGGAAAGAAAAACTTTAAGGCTATTTTTAGGCTTAAAACACCTGAAAACTAATCACATTCTGCCAAATCGAGCGAAATCCCACGTCTGAAACTCGAAGGAACCGATCGGATCTTTTCCGACATGGTTGCTGCCAGATTTTGCCGAATTTCAACAACTTCCGGCATGTTCCAGTGTCGGATCCGGTAGGTTCCATCAAGATCCTGACGTCGGAATCAACCACCTGGGTAACGTTTGAAAAGAAGTTTTAACTCTAATGGCTTCCAGTGCTAGAATGCTTCCATCAACAGACTCAGAGTGGCTTCGTAGAGCTTGTCAAATGCGGACTAGTAGTTTAAGATGCGAGACTCTTTCAAGGAGAAAAAAAATATTTTTCTGATTTTTGCTCGTTATCGATTTAAAATGACTTAATTCTAAAAATGTCTACAAAGTGTCTCCTTCGATTTTTGTAATTGTGGACATATCACTAGTCAAAATCTTAGACACTTCTTAAAACTATCTTACTAAGATCTTATCGTTTAAGATTTTGATAAGAAAATCTAAGAGCTTAATTTGATTTAACGACTCTATTTTTATCCACCCCTTTGTTTTGCTCTCATTCATCAATTTAAGTAACTTAGCATCGAAAATATGAGTGATTTTACGGTTATTTTTCTTCCAGACTCTGTTAGTATTTGCTTACTCGAAAGTGTTTAACAACTATTTAGAGAGTGTGCATGCAGGGTAAGGTCCATAGTTGGACACCTAAAAATATGAAATTTCTCTTAATTCTTCAACACTGTTCAACTGCTGCTTTGGATAATGCGGATTAAAAAGTCAAGAATTCTGAGCGAATCTTGATTGAATATTATTAAGAAAACGTCGTCCTTCTTACCATTAAAACCCTAACAGATTCTTATCTAATCTTGAAAACATCCTAGACAGTATAATCTTAGTACGATATTACAAAAACCTTATTAAATCTTAGAATTTTTGGGTCTCACGATTTTAGTAAGATTTATTTAAAATCTTAGACAAATGTAAGCGAAATCTTACTAAGATCTTAATAAGGTTTTTCTAAAATTTTAGTAAGATTCGAGTAAGTTTTTCACTAGGGATGTGAGACGCACTGAGATACTGTAAAGGAATGTTTAAGGCATTTGCAAGGCCCCTGTAAGACTTGGTGGACACATTTTTTTTAAAACGATAACGGAAGCGTCGGGACAATCGCATGACTGAGGCTGATGGAAAAGAGCTATTGTCCAGCAGAAACTAATGTTTAATAAATTAGAATTTATCTTTGATTCAGACTGTAGAACTTCGTAAGAAACCACTGAGTCAGTCCGTGTGAGAGCTTTCGCGATATAGAGAGTTGCCAGTTTTCTTACCCATCACATGTTAGAAAAAGAGCTTTTTTAAGACCCTCGATGTCAGAAAATGTTTTGCCAGCTTGCATTAGATTAAACGTTGATCCTGTCAAACTCTGGTTACGATGAAATTGGCAAAGCTCTGTTTGTTGTCTTTCGCGATATATTGCCCTTGAAAAAAAGGGAATTCAGCTTCGCCGAGTTCATCATAACCGTACGAGAGAGAGACCTCGGAAACGTTTTTAATGGCAGACAACACAGGTGTCTAAGGCTAACGGGATCGGATTTTTGATATTTTCCTTGGTACAGATTTTTGTGAGGGAAAAGCCCAAAACACAAAACCAGCTTTTATCAAAAAAATTTACAAAGATATTTCAATGTAGACTAAAATTCGAAAATCGGATTCTGTTAGCTTCTAGGCACTTGTATTAGCTGTTCAGAATGTTTTCATGTGTTCGATCCTAGCTTCATGCAAGGATTGATTTTGTTTTTTGATCGTTTAAGTTTCAGAATGATATAATGGCAATCTATATTCTCGATCTTGTTCTGGCTTAAGATTAAATCTTAAGTCAGCGTTTCCGAGATTTTCAACTATGAGGAATCTGACGGTAGTTGTCCATCGAATTTTTCATCTATAGTGCCACGAAAGTAGCTTAAACTAAAAAATGAAAACCTTGGCATTTACCCTTAGGGCTTGGGAGATCTTGCTAAAAAATCCGAAAATCTAGCTGTGGAAGGCTGAAAAGTTAGTGTATTCGAAAGCGGACACTTTGGGCTATCAGGTCATGTATTTTTCTCAAAATCGAAATTTTTGCCAAAAGTTGTTTCTGGAGGGAGTCTCAAGATGTGCAGGTAGGTCGCAACTTTATATATCACGAAATGTTTCACGTGATCCGTACAACGTTTACTGTTTCTTTGTGTCTAATGCTGTTTCTTATTTATTTAGTTCTTACTAACTGATTTTGGGTCATTATTGTCAAACTGGAGAACAGATCCACCTGTATCACAAAATACTCGATCTGGAATCAATTTCTCACCATTTCATTTAAAATCTCAAGTTCAACATGTAATAACAAGTACAGTGATAATGTCAACTGAACAACAACCAGCCACCAATGGTAACGATATTATGAAATTATTTCAGGTTTGTGATCGTAAACCAAAAATAAAAAACGTATGCCCGGATAATCAGGTATTTATTTTCTATTTTATGTCAAACATATTTTGAATATAGAAGCTTTTTTTTAATTAGGTAATGCGCATAGCATGGTGTGAATTTGATAAATTTTCTAATAGAACAATTAAAAATCGTCGAACAGGTAAATTATATACCAATCGTGAATATCAATATGATCTTTATATACCCGATTTATACATCAATGTGTGTAAATATACATCAAAAACATCGACAACTATTAGTATATCAGAAAAAGCTCCTGGTTTTGTGACAATGGTGGCGACATTAATATCTATATTTGCTTTAGCATCAACATTACTTACCTATTCTCTATTTTCTGTTTTAAGAAATCTTCCTGGATGGAATACAATAAATTTAACATTAGCATTAATTATTGCTGAAATTTTATTTCTTATGCAGAGTATATTATTAACAACAAGACCACTCATTTGTCTTCTAATGGCATTAGGAACACATTATTTTTTTTTAGCAAGTTTTTTTTGGATGAATATAATGGCATTTGATTTATGGCAAACATTTCATAAAGGATTTTCATTATACATAAGTGAAACACGTGAACGATTACCATTTTATGCATTATATGCATGGGGATCACCCATTATTATTGTTTTAATTGGTATTATATTGGATGCGAATAATGCTAGATTAAAACCATGTTATGGACGATTTTTTCGAGGATGTTATGATCTATGTTTTCGTACAAGATATGCCACACCACTTCAAGGTATATAAAATTTTGTTTCACAGCACGTTTGTCATTGGGTAACGCTGAACTTTCGTCAAACGAAAGTTCTGTTTTCAGTGACAAAAATTCTCTCGGCATGTGATGAAAGTTTAACCATGTTTGAATACTGATTACGAAAGTTAACCCATTATGTGACGAAAGTGGTTGGTTTTTAGACAGGTCGGTACTTGTCACACGTTGAATGAAACGGCTGCGAAATCAAGGTTGTAGTGGAAAGTTCATTAGTCCAAAGTGTAGCAGTGCAAACTGGAATAATAACTTCTTGCTTTTTTCTTTATAAACATTGCATTTTCTTAGCGAAACAGTAAAAACCCCTTCTGACGTCTTTTTTTAAAGTCAGAATATCAAAATCAAGCGTCTGTTGCGTTTGAGAGTAGTTCAGTCTGCTAGTCCGTATATTGATAGTTTCGCGTTCGCGGAGAATTTAAAAAGATTAGCAGATGTTAACTTCGCGGCGAAATCAAAATTTTCTACTCTCATCTACCCTCATGTACCCTGATCTACTCTTATCTACTCTTATCTATTGCGAAGTCAAAAAAATAGCAAAAGTTAACTGCGCGGCGAAATCAAATCTTCTACACTGTAAAAAATAGTCGTAGATTAATAACTATCAAAAAGGGTTTATTGAGGCCAATAAACCTTTTAAAAAGCCCTTTTCCGTTTTTTATATCCAAAAAACTAAAAAGCGTTCGTGACAGATGCAAAATGAAAAACGGCGGTTTTTTATCAAAAATAAAAAACCCTTTTCAGTTTTTTGTTGAGTCTAAAATATCAGCTAAAAAACTCTTCAGTTTTTTAGCTAGTTTTTTTAGATTCGAGAAAAAACTGAAGAGATTTTTAGCTGGTATTTTAAACTCGACAAAAAACTGCAAAGGGTTTTTTTTTTGATAGAACACCGTCCGTTTTTCATTTTGCATCTGTCACGAACGCTTTTAAGTTTTTTGGATATAAAAAACGGAAAAGGGCTTTTTAAAAGGTTTATTGGTCTCAATAAACCCTTTTTGATAGTTTATTAATCTACGACTCTTTTACAGTGTACTCTCATCTACCCTCATGCACCCTTACCTACCCTTATCTACCCTAGTGGCTGTGAGTTCACAGGAACATTACAGTTGATTAAAGTAGATGTGAGTAGGAACTGTTATTTCACTGCGAAGTTAACTTTTCCCGTTGTTTTAAGTTCGCAGTTGATCAGGTTAGGAGAATTAATTTCGCCGCGAAGTTAACTTTTGCTGTTTTTTGACTTCGCAATAGATGAGGGTAGATGAGAGTAGACGATTTGTTTTCGCCGTGAAGTTAACTTGGGTTGTTTTTGACATCACGGTAGTTGGCAGTGTTTTGGTATAAGAGTGTACTTATATATAGTCTTTGAGGGTTTTTAAATTCGAGGCGAACGCGAAACTGACATTCTTTTTGAGTTGTGACGAAAGTTCGCGATGGGGTATGATGATAGTTGTAGGTACGTTACACAGTTGGTTACGAAATTTCACCACTCTTGTGACCAAAGTGCGGGGTGGTACTCCTCCAAAAATATCATACACTTTCGTCACGTGTGACGAAAATTAACGTGGCGAAAGTGCTATACCCCAAAATTTGTAATCTACTACTGTTTTTAAGAACATACCCGTAAAGATTTCTATTCTAGGTTGTTGGATTGAATCGGCATTAATGCGTTTCTTACTATTTGGCATTCCAGTTGCCATTATTCTAATCGTTAATTTTATATTTTATGCTTTGACTGTTCATAATATTCGTCGTACTCTAAAAAAAGGTGATTAAATATTGTTAAATGGATCTACCATTGTAATTTTCCTATAAAATTTTTCTCATTTTAGTACGAGTACAAATACAACGAAAATTTAAAAATAAAAAACAGATTATACCTGGTGAACATGATGTTAAAATTTATACACGAATAGCTTTAATTACTGGTTTTGGTTGGACAATTGGATTTATTAATTGGGCTATGCCAGATAAACAACATGGTTTTCTTTATTTTCTATCAGCTGTATTTCAATATTCCTTTATATTGTTAAATGCTACAACAGGCATCTTTATATTTGTCGTATTCGTTTGTAATCGTCGTGTATTATTGTTGTATCATCGTCTAATACAAAGTGTTACACAAAAAATTGTTTCTCTCTTCAAAAATGTTCAACAAAAATATCTCGAAATTTATTATAAACAAACAACAAATAATCATGGAGAAAATAATAATCAATGTAATATAGAACTACGAAATAAAGAAAATGCTCTGCAACATACAACATATACACATTTACTCTCAGCACGAACAACCAACAGCTCAACGGCCACCTATCGTACCTGGTTATAATCTGAGAATAATTATTTTTAAATGTTGGTCTTCTGGAATTTAGTCGATTAAATTTTGAAAAAATTTTATAATCACTATCAAGAGATTCGATTGTTTTATGTAAAAAAACCTTCGTTCTATTGAATATTCGTGACACACTATTAAAAATAAAATAAAATATTTAAACTGTGTTTTGAACAACATTTTTCGTTCGTATTTCTATTCATTTTCGGATTGTACTAAAAGCTTCAACATTGAGACTAATTTAAAATCGAAAAGAAGTCAAAATTTTGGCTTCGAGAGTGAGTTACAAGTTATGTGAACGAATATTTTTGTTGGAAAAACTGAAGATCAATATCAAAATATTTTCTGGTATATAAGCAAAGAATTCTCTACCTTTATTTACTTGGATACTCTAGCATTAAAAGTGAGTTCATGTAATTTGAGGACGAATGAAGGCTAAACGCTCCTTTCTTTGTAGTTTATCGAATATACGTTGATAATAAATAAAGAAAAAGAAGTGGAAGATACGAAAGGTATAGCGATTATAGCACAAATTTAAAAATTCTTCAAATGGTGAGGCTTAGAGATTGGCGATACTACTATCCGTTCCAAAATACAAGAGCATCGGTTGCTTTTTGAATAACTTTTGATAGGTAATAGATAGAGAGGTGCGGTTTTCAGTTTTAGAAACTAGAGACCCGAGATCGTGTTTGTATAAGAGAAAGCAAGTTTCCAAAAAAATTTTCAAGTTGGCTTTTGAGGAGATCTTTGGAAAATCAGATCAGAACTCCCGAAAGTCTCGTAAAAATGTAGTCGCTTTTTCACAAATGTGAATATCATTTAGGGACTGATTCAGGGAACCAGAATTTGTGGTAAACGATAACCAACCATGTGTACTAAGGATTTTATTTCCATTTAGACTACTGATTTGACAACATCAAATATTGGTTATGTACATCATTCACAAATATCTTTTAGCAGATAAAAAGACTGACTTTTAATAGAAAAAAAGTTGACTTTTGAATTACTAATAAAATCTTTCGAGTTGTGCATTTGCAATTTTTGCGCCGTATAGGCCCAATCCACATTTCTACATGAAAGGTAATTCCGTTAACATATTTATTTCTAAAAATAAACAGTATCTCCGCTATGTGTCATATCATACAGGCAAATCAAGCGTGTAAAACAGTTATAGTCTATGAATAAATAAAAAAGAAATACGCGATATTTCAGACAATAGACACGATGGATGAAATTTTTTGATGAATGAGAATGAAAATGATGAAAGCTATTAACAAAAAATTCTCGAAAGATCGAATCGAATAGTTACACTTTATCTCGGTATACATTTCCACATGAAAAGTAATTCCTTTAACAAATTTTATTTCTAAAAGTAAACAGTATTTCCACTATGTGTCATATCATACAGGCAGTAACAGGAGAGTTAGTCCTTCGATGTTCTCGGAATAACACTTGATTAGATGATTCTGATTTCATGACTAAGCAACTTGATGATCGTAAGTTTTGAGAGAAATATCAGCACTTACTCTGTATAGTGATAACTTTACGTATTTGTCTAAATGAACCTTCAAATATCCTGATGTATTGTAAAGATGACGATAAAACGAAATCCAGAGGCAGTTCAAAAGTTAGTATACCGAGATAAAGTTTAACTACGACACACTACGAAGCTTTAGCGCTCACTCAATCCAAGAAGTAAGGAGAAACAAATTTATTCTAAGCACCTTATCATGCCCTAAACTGAAATTCGTACTTAGTGACCAGAACTGACCTTAATTGTTGAATTATCCACAAATGTGGATATCATTGAGGAACTGATTCAGGGAACCTGAATTTGTGCTAAATGATAGGCATTCTGTACATATCACATTTAATTTTGTGAA